CTCGGGCAGCCGGTGCCGCCGCACGCCCCGTCCACGCCCTCGGTGGCGGCCGCGAGTGGAGGTGCCGGGGGCGGGTAGAAGCGCCCGGTTAGTTGGGTGCGTGTCTGTGGGTTCGGGGCCTCGGGGGGAACTGAACTGCTGCCCCGTTCCGGGCAGCGCTTTGCCGGCGCGGGGTTGTGTTTTCTGACCCGCTGTAGGAGGGAGCGGGGACGGCTGCCTGGCCCTGCCCGTGCCCCTGGTTAAGTGACCTGTCTGTTATTAGTTAAAATAAGCCTCCTAGTGCTGTGTCGTGAACCTTACAGCAAAAATTGCTTCATGAAAAACATGAAAACAAGTTATTCTTGTGAAAGGTGCTCTAGTACTGTCTGTGACGGGAACAAGCTGCGTGATTGTAGAGTGGCTTTGCTAGCCTTAGCATTCAGGACTAAGATAATTAAAAAACAAACAAAACCATGTGACTGTAAACATAAAGTGTTAACGTGGTTCAAAGGGGGGCTGCTAAAATTATCCTGGATCAGACTCTTTCAAAAACAAGATAGAGAACCATGCTAGAAGCCCCCTGATTCCGTTCGATGCAGCCTTGAACAAGGCCACTGCACGCCATGCGGAGGGGAGGCGGGTAATGCTGCTGCAGACATCGCGGTGCTGTTCCTGGGTCGTCGCTTGGCTCTGCGTGGGGCGAGGAGGGCAGAGGAGCGCGTGTGCCGGGCCGGTGTTCACTGGAAACAGGGACGGGGCAGGTGTGGGGGAGCTGGCCGGTACCGTTTGTTCCGGTGATCCTCTGCAGCGGGCTGGGCTGGCGCAGGGACAGGGCACAGGGCTGGCAGAGCGCGAACATGAACTTGGTTCCAGTCCCATTAATTCCTGTGGCGCTTCGGTAGCTCATTTTTTACTGATCGTTGCTGTCTCCTGTCTCAACAACTGGGATAACATGGCTTGGAGCGAAACGCCTCTACATGGTTTAGCCCTCAGTGAGCTGTTAGTGCTCCCTGCGCAGGGAGGAAGGACGCTGTGCTGGTCAGCTGGCAACTTGTGGCCATCAGCAGCGCCTCGCCGACCCAGCCCTGCCGATAACGAGAGTGTGGACTGGAGATACCGGGGGGCAACTGTCAGAGGTGTCAGTGCCCTGTTCCACGGAAAAGTATGGGCTCCTGCGGGCTGGGGCCGAGCTGAGCGTGGTGAGACCGGGCCCTCAGCTCGTGCTCTGCAGAGTGCCAGGGGTCGGGGGGCCTGGGCCCGGCGCCGCAGCCCTGGAGAGATGCTCAGAGCATGGGCTCGGTGACAGCTGTCACCGACAGCTTCGCCTTGCACCGCGGTGTAAATCCGTCATCGATGGCTGCAGCACAGGGGACAGGCAGGAGAGGGCTGGGTGACTGCAAACCGTGGAGTCGCTGCCTGGAGAAGGCCGAGACGGGCGATCCTGGCGCCAGGGCTGGAGCGGAGACCTCGCGTTCTCCGTGCTTGGTTCGGCAGCGTTCTGGTGAAGGGCACATCCCGAGTTGTCTCAGATCTGCTGCTTTGCCATAGGCAGGAGATGAGCTGTTTGCTGAGATGAGAAATTGGCTCATAAAATTTAAAAAAAAAAAAAAAAAAATGAATCTAAACTTAGTCATTGTTTGGTTTACAAAATTCCTCCTATGCAGAGTGCCATTATCCAAAGGGTTATTGCTTAATTTTTACAGTCACTGGGAGTCTTGGGTTTTCAGAGTATTCAGGTTATTTAGCTGATGTGTGATGTACAATGTTTGCATGACTGAGTTCTCTTTATAGGAAAGAAGAAAACAAAAATAATTGCACTCAATTTATTTGCTGAAAAATTATATGCAAGTTTTAAAACCTGCTGATTTCCATGACTGTCTAGTTTCACTATGGATGTGACATTCTAAAGAATTGTTGAATTTGTTATCGGAACAACTGCTGATATTTTGAAACTCGCACTGTGTTCACTTTGCTTTAATAGAAACCTGGTAAATAAGATGTGGTTCATGGTTTATTTCCATTTGATGGACTTTTTTTTCAATACTGTCATTTTAAAAGACCATATCCCTTTACAAAGTTTGTTCATCGTTAGGACTTTTTACAGACTGGGAAATAAAAGTATGTAAGTTAGCTGCCTCCCCGAGGTCATGCGAGGCCAAAACTTGCTCTGTTACTCTAATGCTGTGAGAACAGAACTGGGCACAAAATATCTATGTGGAACTTGAATCTCTTGCTTCCTCTTCTGGTGCTTTTAATTACAAAACCATGAAAGCTTATTCTGAAAACCTCCATCAAATTAATTAACCCTTAATATGCGTGCTGTAGGAAAAATGTTTTGCCTTGAAGATAGATTTTCTGTGAGTCATGGTACATGTAATTTTTGGCCTTGGATGAATGGAAAAAAAAATAGCTTTTGTAAATACAAACTATAATATTGGTAGCACGAACATTGAGGGGTATTTTCCTTTTGTGTTTTTGCAGGTAAATGACCTCTGCTGGCACGTGCGCTGTCTCTCATGCAGTGTTTGCAGAACGTCTCTAGGAAGACATACCAGCTGTTACATCAAAGATAAAGATATCTTCTGCAAACTTGATTATTTCAGGTACATCATACAGGAATATAATTTTGTTAGACAACATGTTACACTTGCTTATTGCTTTTCACTTAAGCTGCAACTAAAATGCATGTCTCAGCTCTTTGGTTTAATTTGCCAGGTTTATTTTCAGTAGTTAAACTCTGGCATCTCGTGCAGAGGGACTTGGGAAACCCCCAGTCAATCTGATGTAACTACTTACTAAGTCTTCCCCTCTGCCCCTCCATTGTTATGCGTGGCTACTGCGTTTATGCAGTAACTTACTTCTGTGTGCGTGGGAAGAAAAACCCATCAGTCCCTGCCACAGTGAGGCTGTAAAGCTCTCGTACCGCCAGGAACCATCCTTCGGTAATGCCGATGGAGAACGCAAGGCGAGCTGAGTTGATGCTCCCTTTGGACCAGCACTCGCTGGTGTGAGGCTGAGGGTGTCACGTGGAACTACAAAAACAACCCAGAATAAATCCCATGATCTTTAAAAGAAGCTTTCAGCAGTTAGGGTTTTTTGTGATTGGTTTGATTTTGAACGTGAAGCATTCTTCAAGTTAAAGGTCTAATCCTATAAGGAAGAATATTACTTACTCATGCTGGCATCAGAAATACTCGTGATACAAAATCTTTGGTCCAGAAAGTAGCAAAAACTTTTGCTGTTAATTTTGTTGTGATTGCTAGTACTTCCCCAGACCAAACTATGGGAGTCTCATCTGTGTAGTGACTGGATTATGTTCAGCTAGTCAGTTTTGACTCTGAAAGAGAGGGAGCAGCCAGGCTGAAAAAAAAAAAAAAAAAAAAAAAAAAACACAAAAAACCCACAAAAAAACAAACAACCAAAACCACCCCTTAAAAGTCTGCAAAGATTTTTTTCAGGACAAGTTCTTATCTAAATAATCAACATATCTTGTTGGCTAGTTTCCTCTTCAAAGACAAATATTCTACTGTGGTGATGTAAATACTAGATATTTGAATTTCTTTTAAAATCATAATGTGATGGTAATTAAGGAAATAACTCTGAAGGTACAGAAGGTACAGGTTTTCCCCCTTCGGATGGAGGAGACTAAATGATTAGCGAAGGGTGATGCAGCTAAATACAATAATTCAGACTACCACTAGAGCAATGTGAAATATATTTGAATAATTGGGAGGATTTTGAACACCGTGTCAGCTGTTTCCATCTCCCACTCGCAGCCTTTTAAAGAGTAATTACCTTTATAAAAGGAAAGATGAAGAGTTGTGAATTCCTTAGCAGCTGTTTCAGTTTTGCTCTTTGCCTTATGAAAACACTGACGTCCGTAGTTCGGCTGGTCTCGCCTCCAGCCCTCAGATCGAACTCGCTGTCCCCCCGTCGGGGCTGTGTCCCCCGCCTCAGCCCCACTCTCTCCGTGCAGGCGGTACGGCACCCGCTGCTCCCGCTGCGGCCGGCACATCCACTCCACCGACTGGGTCCGCAGGGCTAAAGGGAACGTCTACCACTTGGCCTGCTTCGCCTGCTTCTCCTGCAAGAGGCAGCTCTCCACTGGGGAGGAGTTCGCTCTGGTGGAAGAGAAGGTCCTCTGCAGAGTGCACTACGACTGCATGTTGGACAATCTGAAAAGAGAAGTGGAAAATGGTAACAGACGGGTTTTGTTAAGAACTATGTTTGTGGTTTATTTTTTAATTAAAATTGTTGGGTTTTATTTCATCTTCCTTCTTAAGAGGTAATTACCTATGTTCACTAAGGCTGGAAGCACAGGTTCTTGAATTAAAATAATGTGCAAGTTATTTGATGTTTTATTTTTTTTTTAAGTTTGTATAACTTGTTTTCTGTCCTAAGGAAAAGAAAGCAAGAGCATATGTATTTGATAAAATATCGTGCTGGAGTTATTCCTTCCCTCACTTGCAAGGGAGTCACTTGGGGTGTCATGGGTAGTGGTGCCAGATCAACTTGAACAGAATATGGCTTTTTTAAAGTTGAAATTCAGCTGACCAAGTACTATTGGTTATTGTTGGAGGACAGTCTGATTTAGGAATAACATAATTTTGAATGTTTAGCAGACAGTGTTGTTTTCTTTTTAATGCTTCAGGTAATGGGATTAGTGTGGAAGGAGCATTGCTAACAGAACAAGACGTTAATCATCCAAAACCAGCAAAAAGAGCTCGGACCAGCTTCACAGCAGATCAGCTCCAGGTAGAGGCAGCGCTGAAAACTTGCACAGTTCAGGTTTATGGAACACTTGGGTGCTGAACCAATAGGAAATCAGATGCATATGAAAGGAAAGAAAAAGCTTGCATGTTTTAAACTATTTCATAAACTGTCAAGACACAGCATGTTTCTGGAATTGTTTGTTAGCTTCAGCAGTTCAATATGAAATAGTTACTCTTCAAGCTTTTTATTTCCCTGGGGGCAGCTGGTAATTCTGCAGAGTGGAAACAAAAAGGTTGTTCTATTTTGATTGCTCGATGAAATCTATTTCATCAGGCATTTACATCGCTACACGTAATAAAGACAAAATATTTTTAGAATTATGTAATGTGAAGAGTTGTACTAAAGGTGGGTGCTTCAGGACGTTAGCAGGCTGGAAGTTTGAGTTTTGTTGTAAAGCGCAGTAAGGGCTGCAAAAGGCTGTGCTCTCAGAACAGGTAAGGACTGTGGGCCCCTGCTTACATTCACGTGAGCGCAGGCTTGGCTCCTGTCAGTGACTGTTTCTTGGTTTGCTTTGGTTTATAGAGAAGATGGGGAATAGTTGTGCGTTTATTTCTTGATTGCCCTTTTTCCTTCCGAGATGGTTTTCAATACTTGCTTTTTAGATCATAGTCTTGGCTGTACTTCTGTACACCAGGAAGGGACTAGCAACACTGACGCATCGTATCTTTTCCTTCCTTCTCCCAGTCCTTCCAAAATGCTTCATGTGCTGATTTCCTCAAAGTGTATTTGAGCTTTGCCTGTTTAAAAATAAACAATAGTCTGGGTGTCATTTTTCAAGACCTAGCTTCAGTATTTAATGCTGCACACTTTAGGGGGGGATAAAAACCCACTTATTTTTTTCCGTAGAGCTAGGTAGAGTGACATACAGGGAAAGTGATTTTGAAGTACTTGGCAGCAATTCTTGTACTGTCCAATTTGTTCTTGAACATGCGTTTCTGAAGTATGTTTTTTCCATACCCTTTTATACTAGCTCAGCCACTAGTTCTGTTCCTTCCCATCATCAGGACTAAGGGGAATGGGAGCTGGGAAGTCTGGATGTACCATCGGAGCCCCCTCCTGCCAGGTCAAGCCTGCACTGGGCAGGGAGGGAGCAGGATTGCCAGTGTCTGCTCTGCTTTCAGGGCTTCTTGTCTCTGCTGCCTTGGCAAGTTAGCTCCGGACTGCCTCAAATACGAGTTATTTCACCCTCTGGGTCACCACTTAAATTAGCTTTGTAGGGAAAAACACCGTGACGATGGCCAGCTCCTTGTGAAAGGGGCAGTGGTGAGACCAGGTTCAGAGGTTTCCACCTGTAGTGGGAAGGCAGCTGTGGCTCTACCTAATCCTGTGTATCCCTGCTTTCAGTTTATAACATGTGTTTGAATTTCGGGTCACACATGGCCACTACACCTTTTCTTTTCTACCATCTCGGTCTGAGTTCTGTTTTGTTGCCCTGCCCTCTTCTTGTTCATGGTGAAAGCAGTTGAGAAAAACTAATACATGTAATAACACATGAAGCATTTAAGCAGTGCTGGATAATGTGGCATGTGGCTGTTCAAAGTTTGGCTTGGTCTTTCAGCCATAACTGAAGGCAAAACATGTCAGTTAGAAATAATGTGACAAGGGCATGGGGCATGCACTCTGGACATCAAGCTTGAGCTTCTGCAAAAAGAAACTTTATTTTCCAGCAGGACCTGAATGGGAGGTGGCCCAGCCATCAGGGTAGGAACTCTATTTGGGGCTTCTTCCTGTTTGCTGTCACTGGAACCTCCATGTTCCCCTCTTTTCATATTTTAAGGAAATTGTAACCTACTTCAGCAGGTGTTTGAGATCTTAGGGCTTCTTGTTATTTAACAACACTTGTAGTCTGCTCAGTGCCTCTGTACCTGTCCTTGATGCTGCTTTAAGATGTCCAGAAAGAGAAGCATCAGAGGGGAACAAGGGACTGTCAGAGCAGCAGCACGTAGTACCACACCTCGTGAACTACATCCTTTACAGAAGGGTGTCCATGCTTTTGGATGTCTTTGTATGAAACAGTAGGAAAGTAAATAGTTTCAATGTTTCTGAATTCATAGAGAAGTAGTCTGAATCTTCAAAGGTGAAGCCAGGCAAAATGCGAAGACCATCAGGGGTCAAAATCCAGAAATGAGAAACTACAGTTTACTAAGTTGCTGAAGGTACCCTGCAGAAATCCATGAAGCCTTACATCCTTCAATAAGGGAAACCCTTACAGGCTCTAAAACTGTCCAGGACACAGGCCAAGTTGACATCTACTTCCCCCCAGAATGTAATTCATATCCTAATGACAAGTGTTCAGTTTTCAGTAAAAAGATGAGTGTAACCAAAGAGTTACCTGTAGTGCAGGTCAGCCAAGGTGGAGCCTCTGTTCCTCGGGTCAGTGCAAGGTAAAGGAGGCGCAAAGGCTCCCCCGCTGCTTGCTTCCCCCTGCGGCTGAAAGGGGGGTTAAGCTGCTCCATATAATATGTGGGTAGTGAATGCAAGTTCTGAGGGGTGGATCAGAGTTCATTCCTTCCCTGTGCTTTGCGCTGTGGCCTGCCGCTATAGGCGTTCTCTTTATCCAGCATGTTTGAATTGCTTCGCAGTGGATTTTCTCCCACAGTCCTTTTAACACAATCACAACAGAGCACCTCCTCCTTTTTTTTTTTTTTTTTTTTTTCTACTGCCAAGCAGAATTAACTTCTTCCATTTCTGGTAAATGTCTCAGTTAAGCATAATAAGGGGCTTGTATTTTGGCTTTGGGGAATTTGGTTTTTTTCCTTAAGATATTGGAGGCTGTCATGTGGGGGCTAGTGATTACAAGTTTCCTAAAACCAGTCAATGAGTAGGACCACAGTCTGAGAAGAGTCTCTAATGCTGCTGTCAGGACTGCACACAAAAACCTGCAATCTCTTATCTTGCCTTTTCAGGTTATGCAAGCACAGTTTGCTCAGGACAACAACCCAGATGCACAAACACTTCAGAAACTGGCAGAAAGAACAGGCTTGAGCAGGCGTGTTATACAGGTAACTGAGCTAAGTTACTTGATAACAAAGTCCCGTACTCATCCATTGGAAATGCTTAACAACAATTTTCTGCATGTAGTTATTCTGAGATGGAAAAAGATCTAATATGGCAGTTTTAACACAACTTGAGACAACATCCTTAGTCAGGAATAGGTCTAGAACAAACATGTTCATTTGGAAAACTTGCTGTATTCCTCTTGCGCTTTGTGTGGAGGATTAATAGTCTTCCAGGAAGAAACTTCTCAGCCTAAACAGTATAGAAATCGTCACAGAGCTCTTCTAAATACAAATTTATGACTTTAATAGTCTGTTCTTAAGACCTGCACCCTTTTTTGAAAATGGGTTGTGGTATGCCACGTGAGGAGTAAGTGAACATCTAGTGGTCTGTTCTAGAGAGCAGAGTTAAAATACACAGCTCTGCCGTCCAAAACTGGGCGAAACGCAGACTTGGAATCTTTGCTTTGAAGATGCCTCTCAGCAGACATTATATGAATGCTTTTTATACATAAATATGTTTTTTTACATAACATGTTATATGTTTATATAAATAAAAAGAAGGTTGTGGTTCCCTTGGCTCCTTCTAGCCTGGGAGATTGACAGTGTTTCTATAGAAACAAGGTATCTGGCAGCTGCAATCAAGCCTTAAAAAAAATGGAAGCCCGCCCGCTTTACGGTGTGGACGGGGAAGTGTGGGTACCCCGTGAACACCCCTTGCTCAGCAGCGTCGGGGCAGAGGCGGCCATGCCTGCAGGGCGCCTGGGTGCTGTTGCTCGCCCCGGCCCCGCAACCCCGTGCCTGGCTTGGAGCTGCTGGTCCCCGCAGCAGCTTTTCTGTCCTGACCTTGCTTGTTTGAGGCACCGTGCAGGTTAGGAAGGATGTTTCTTCATCTGGGTTGTCAGTGTTGTGTTACAGGCCCGGTTTCACTGGCTGGATTCAGCTGAAGCGAGACCTCTGAGGCCTTCATCAGGCTGGTGTTGAACCAATGCAATTACCACCATGATGTGAATTTTCCCCCCTTTTCAGGTGTGGTTTCAGAATTGCAGAGCACGCCATAAGAAACACGTTAGTCCTAATCATTCATCCACTGCTCCCGTCACAGCGGTTCAGCCCTCCAGGCTGTCTCCACCCATGCTAGAGGAGATGGCCTACTCTGCCTACGTACCCCAGGACGGGACGATGCTGACTGCTCTGCACAGCTACATGGACGGTAGGTACAGCAACTGCATGTCCAGGTAAAATCACTGACTGTAGCAAGAACAGTTCACCAAGCAGTGACTGAAGAAACTTAATGGATTTCTAATTCCTAGTATCCTATATAGAATATCTTAATGCTTTACTTGGTATCCAGACCTCATTAAGTGTGCCTCCCCAAGCAGTGAGCCCTTCACTGTAAGAGCACAGCTGAAGATCTGCGTATGAAGACCACTTTTTGTGCTTCCTCCCAACTGAGAATGCTAGTAATAAGAATCAAACACTGTTTTTAAAATCCATGCGAAGTACTTTAACAATATGTAATTTTTATGAAAGCTGTTTACCGCGCTCCCTAGCTCTCACCCCAAGGACTGTAGGTACACTCAATCCAGAAGCTTCACTGAAAACTTAAGCTTCCCTCACAGCAACACACAGTGGGGGGAGCCTGGTGGTCCAAAAGTATGTTTCAGTCTCTGTGTGTCTTAAGACCCAGCAAGTCAAAGATTTTTGGCTCTTATTTGTGATTAGGAGAGACTGTGACGGTTTGGGGAGAACTAAACTGAGCTGCATGTGTGGCCTGAGCGTTTTTTTCTCCGAGGCAGTGGTGTAGGGTGGGCTGTGGGTGGAGCAGTGTCGATGCTGGGCTAGGGAAAACAGAGCATGCTGTGGTGGTTGGGACCAGCAAACTGTTATTACCCAGTGGGATTTACTAGTTCATAATCCTTTTCTACCTCTGATGAAGCTGACCGGTCAATATTTCTGTTTTTGTAGCTCATTCACCTACAGCTCTTGGACTCCAGCCTTTGCTACCCCATTCAATGACACAACTGCCACTAAGTCACACCTAATTCCTTTGTCAGGGATATAAGCTATTAAGGATGTAACCTTAAGTCATTTATTGTGTATTAAAAATATCATTGGAAAGATATTAATGTTAACTTTTTATTTAACATCTAAAGCATTTTCAAGATCATTTTTGCTGCCCAGGTATGTAAGTATATTTAGCCTGCAAGACACTTTTATGGATTCTGCATAAATATTACATTGTTTACAAGCCTTATTAAACACCTTTTTGTATTGTCTGGAAGTAGTCCACTCTAGTTATGTGTGTGTTAATTTATTTGTCATCAAATGAGCACTTTGCCTAAAAGAAAGGACTGACAATTGTGCAAAATGTTTACAATTCTTTGTGAAATTGTAGTTTATCATTAGTTTGTATCTGTAAGTTATTGTTAAAAGTATTACCTGTATTTGAGTTGTACACAGCCTATATGTTAAAGCTTATTTCTGTGAGTTTACAAAAATAAATTTTGGTTGCAAATATTTTCAAAATGAACTGAATAAAGTTCCTGCTGTAGCATGCCAAGCAAAAATGTTGCAGTGTTTATGGCTGAACTGTGATCATTTGTCAGGTGATGAACTTGAATCTTCAGTTTTAAGAGAAGGTCCCAGCTATACTTGAGTAGACTACGGCCAACTCTTTCAGGAGTGTTCATACTTGTCTTGATTTAAAAACACCCCACCTTTTTATGGGCTTAGGTCTTGAAATGCCCCTTAAGGACACACCAGTGTTGCTCCTGAGGGTGCACACCTGCAGGGTGAGGGAAAAGGTGGGTTTTTAAACTGATAGATTTTTAACTGTGATTTAAGTCAGTAAGTGGAGAGACTGAATTCACATCTGCTTTAACACTTTGAATTTTTACTACTTTGGCTTCTGTTTTCTTCAGTGGTTTTATGTTGTGATTTTTGTTAAGTGGGATGGTAACTAACGCAGTACTTAGTCTGCATTTTTAAGTAAAATCTAGTTCAGTATTTTGAGTGACCCCTTTCAAACTGCATACGAACAGAGCAGCCAAATGCACAGAAGTCTGCTGTGTTTTAAACTCTTAATGTGCAAAGACTTAATTGTAACGCATGTTTTGATAAGGTGATTTGATGGACAAAAACTAGTGCATACTATCAATTCAGCTGATTTTTGTCTTCACAAACTACTTTCCTTCAAGGAGTTAAGATGGGTAGATTCTATCTGCACACCTAAACTTTCCTTGCATCAGAAAGAAATCATACTTTGGAAGATGTGTGCATCCATGTCACTTTTTTTTCCTCTCCCAACTATGAGTTAAGTGTCTCTGAAACTGCTTAACTGCCCTGGTCAAACCATTTCAATGTGAAAAAGGTAGTATTCTCCCTGCCACCAGGAGAGCACAGCTTTACTGGCAAGCTCTGAATCACTCAGGTTCATAAATTAAGTGTTGGCACTGTTTCAGGTGCTACTCACCGCTGTTTGAGCTCATCTGAGAAGAAAAAGCATTCTCCTTGCACTGGCACAGTGGTTGGTTTAGGCTAATGTTATTCTGCTGTATTTTTTTTCACAAAACATACCAAAGATGTGCTGTGTTGTGGAACTTGACTGACTTTACATTTATTCTGACATAACTAACTCGTTGGTGCAGTGCTCGGTGTGGCACGGTGATTCGGTGCGCTGGTTTCAGTACCTAAGCTAGCTCCACACCTCTGCCCGATATAAAACGGCGGTTCTATCAGCAGACAGACTGGTTTGTGTGTGTTTGTTGGGTCTGATATGCAAGTAGGACATCTTTGCTGCTAAAGCTTTACCAGTTAATGCTAAATAATGCTAATTTAGATCTTAACATAACTTGGCAATTTAAAATACTATCCAGTTGTCTTGTTTTAAAATACAACTTGACTTACATCAAGTCTGTTTAAAGAAAAGTAATTACCTTAATTTAAAGGACTAAACCACTTCAGGTTGCCTGAAACAAAGTAAGTCTAAACTTACTTACGAAGTGGCCCCTTCTGTTCAGCTCCAAAGTCAGTGCAGGATTGAAGTAAATGGGCAGCAATTTTCCCATTTCCCTATGAAAACAAGGAACCAGGAGAATTCATCTTTGGCTACTGTGAATGCTTGAGCAGCTCTTTGTATGTGTGCTGGGAAAATGTAGACTTGAAAATAAGAAGCTCCAGCAGAGGATCTGGACTCCTGAGTCTTCCCTTGGAGAAGGTCAGACCTGTGCCACGGGCTGCGTGGGGCTGACAAAGCTGAGGGAAAGCAGGGCGGTTTAGGCTGCTGCTCTCGGCTGAAGCTGTTGCTGTAGCCTGACTTGCGAGTCTGAATGTTTGTCTGTATCTCCTGGTCGTGCACTGGCTTGTGGTTGTGACATCTGCTGAGCTCTCCTGACCCGGGAGTCATCCTCGCTGCTGCTTGCTGTTGAAGAGTAACGGGAATAGGGTCCTGCTGAGGATCTGTGGGGGCTCTGCGGGAAGAGACTGCAGCTACAGCAGGGAGTGTGCTGAGGGCCATGCTAGGTTTTATATTTGCAGCACAGTAACCTAGTTTCTGCTTCCTTTCTATGATTGCATCTTAAGTTGAAGAGCTGCTTGTGATCTTGCTACACTTCCACCTTTCATTTTTTGTAAGTACAGGTAACTGCTAGGAAGCATTTTCCCTTCTGAAGAAACTGATGATTCTCATCTCCCCCCGCCTATGCAGTTTTACAGCCCGACTGGCTGTGTGGTGCGCCGCCTTGATCCCAGTTTCATCTTGCAATACACCACTCCTTAGGACATGCAGAGTAATGCTGTTGTAGGGATGGGCAGTCAAACAGATGTATGTCATAAAGACAGTTTCCAGAAATACTTTGATGCACGTTTCTGTGCTTTTGTCTCCCTTTCTCGTCTTTTTTTTTTTTTAATTACATTGTGCTTAAAATCATTACTGATTCAGAAATCACAGTAGTGTCTGATAGAAAACTGACTCTATCCTCCATTCAGAACGACAGCTGCTTTATGATGGCAGTAGAGGTTGCTAAGGTCGGAGTTGCAGCCGCCTGCTGTGTGCCAGCACAGTGCCAGGCGCTGCGCCAGCCGAGGCACCGTCCCCTGCGCCAGTGACAGGTAGGAATCCTCAGCGGCACCGCTGCGCCGGCCAGGGCTGGGGGGTGCCTGCTGCCTCGGGTTTGCTCGAGTCCTCAGGGCCCGTTCCACCTCTGGCTTTCATCATTACAGCAACATGCATCTAAACTCCAAATACCCAGCTACTCCATGTGTACTCCCCAGACAACTCCTTGGGAAAGATGTCTGCACCTGCAGCAGAGAAAAGTTTTCAAGTTCAAAAATTTAACTTCTGTCAATTTAATTCTGTGTATTGCTGTTGTTGCTAGTTAACTTTGAACTCCTGCCCATTCTACAATTATAAATTAAGCAACTAGACTTGTCATACAAGTCACTAAAAGCGCAATAACCAAGCTTTTTTCAAAAAATTAAAACATTTATCATTAGTTTAAATGAAGAGCAGAAAAAAACCTGAACTGGTTTAGTTTCTGAAAATCCACTTTAGTTATGTGTGGACAAGTCTCCAAAATAGTGACATCTAGGGACAGAGAACGATAGTACAAGTTCAACAAGGAAACACAAACCGCCTCCAGCTGTTACGTTGATTTACACTGAAGTGTATGTCTGCACATGTTAACTCTCCCATTTCCTTTTAAATAAAATTAATAGTTACCGAAAACATACCGATCTGTTAACTCTCACGTGTTCTTGGGTAGGACACGAGCGAACGAGATACTGTAGTGGGTATCTACTGCACTCCTGTTAACTGGCTTTCCTACAGAGCAATGGAGCGTTTAGAGTGACTGTCTGCCATCTCACAGAGTGACCCTGGCTTCAGGCAGAACAGTTTTTCCTTTAAGTTACAAGGGGGATGCCTTTTCAGTTACAGGTGCTCACCCCGAGAAGAAATGCTGAATCCAGAACATGTTCAGAGCAAGGTGACGTTCATGCAGCCTCTATTCCTGGAGGCTAAAACCCCAGGATACCACGGGTACTTGCTGTGTGCTTTCATCAAACACTTAAATTGGAAAAAGCAGTTATGGTTGGGAATATGTCACTTACAACAATATAATCTCAAACTTTGGAGGTCAACATTTGTTATAAAACCGACATTTTAAAACTGTTTACAGATTTTTCCAGTAAATCAGGCAGTAATAACTGCAGTACAAATGTGTGATGGCTCCTTCTGTCTCCTGTGGGGAAAAGCTTTGATCACTGTGGACTGATATGCTCTATAAACTAAAGCCTGAGTCATTCTTAGCTCTTCCAGATATGCTAAAACAACCCCCTACCACATGTTTTCTGCATTCTATTTTAAAGAAATTATGCATCATGAGTAGTCTCCAAGAGAAAAACAAATCTTAATTCTTAGCTGCATTTGTTCTATAACCTGGCACCCCTCACCATCCCCAGATGGCTCACCGTCAACACAGCCTTTCTCATTCTCTCTAAGGATGGTGTTTTTATATTCCACACTTGATCCTGATTTGAAGCAAATTTAAACTCTCAGAATCAAATAGCTTTAAATCTGATCTTACATGAAAGGGATGCTGAGAAAAAAAAAAACAACAAAAAACCCCAAAAAACACAACATAAACCGAAACTCTCTTAGCAGAGATTTTTCAACATACAAAATCTTCCTGGGGTACACCAAGCTTACCTGGTACAGCCATAAAGATGCACCTTTTCCTGATCCTGTTCAGTTTCTCTTTCAGATTAACAGAAATGATCTGAAGCCTTTGTTGACTCTGTGTGTGCAAAAAAAAGCAACTTCTGGGAATGTGCTTTTGAAGCATCCAATAGAAGAACAAGGACAAAGACTTTGCTTCTCTGTCATGCAACCTGCTCCAGCACAGCTGCACTCCCGTGGCGATTGCTTTTATGTCAATATATAATGTTCTTATGTGGGAGCAATTATTCATGCAAATATTAAGATGACAAAAAGCTATCCAACATGTCCTGGTTATAAGAGAGTATTTATCTCCTCGGGAGGGACTGTACCAGCGTGTATTGGCCAACAGGTATTGACCAGGGTAAAATCTATAGGGAAAAAAAAAAATCAGGGCACGGCTCAGACCAGTTTATTCTTTAGACAAATGCTTTTAAAAAAAAATCATAATTATATATATATATATGTGTGTGTGTGTGTGTATGCACGTGTGTGTTTTTTTTTCTCTTTTCACTTGGTTTGTGCTTTAAAGTGTACTCGCATCATATGTTGCCCATAGCTTTGAAGCCTTGAAGTTAGAAAAAAGAATAACAAGGTAAGCATTTCTAGGCTGAAACAGTTGACTGAAGTGCAGCGTAAGACGTGAGCTTTACAGTATTTAATCACCACCAGGATTCGCAGCACAGGTGGTGTAACCAAAATCAAATGTTTAACTCTCCATCCATTATTTGTCTCCCAGGGCTCATCTCTTCTACTCCTACTATTTTTTTTTCCCACATAAATAAGCATACACCAAATCAACAGCAGTTCTGGGAAAAAACCTTGCAACTTCCTTTTC